CTATACATTATCAGGTTCATCATCAACCTGTCCTAGTCCTACAGGGCAAACTCCATGTAACCGTGGATATGACTAACTCCAGGGTCTCAGCATCAGATCATGAGCAAAGGAAATTCTATCTTGATGGTAGCAAGGTCCATCACACAGCCTGCATGAAGTGTCTTATGTTACCAAGCTAAGCAGATAGACTTGTTGACTTTAAAGCAATAACATTCTTTCTTCATTCCACCACTGGCTTTCTGTCAGTCAGTCTCAATATCCTCCTTTTCCAAATACTGTTTTAAAATGGCAAACTCATCTTAATAATCGTAAGGTCAAGTATCATGTCCACGGCCACTGGAAGTTGTGACACAATGAACAAAGTCAAAGAAAGATCAGGCAGAAATAGCATTGGTTCCTTTTTGCGAAAACAAGTAGAGTTCAAATGACCAAACCAAATAAATTCCATCAATTATACTAGGAAATTTTTTAACAAATTCAAATCCACCTTTTCAAAATTTTTAGTATATTTCCAAACTGTAATTTGATTGTCCAGGCTTATGCCACCCATTGAATTTTACAAGCATTAATCTGTTGATGGTATCAGAAGCAAAGATAAACTAACATTTGTATTTTTTTAAAAACAGTCACATGTACCTTTTTAAAAGTAGTTTCAGTTTAAATCAAAGGAACTACATTTTTTAACTTCCTGACATCGCCCTCACTCCCTCTGTGATAAAAAAATAAAATAAACACAATACAGCCATTAATATTGCACACTTCAGTTATTTCCCTCTAAAAAGTATAACACGCAAAATGTTATAATTTACATTCTGGAGTGGTAGGCAGTAATCTGAATAATGGGAGATTTTAGGCAAATATTCTTCAACTAGTTCATAAAACTGGATTTCTTATTTATCACTTTTTTTTAAATTTTTATTTACTGGCTGGTTTTAGGGAGAGAAAGGGAGACGGAGAGGGAAAAAGGAGGGGGGGGGGGGTGTTTCACTTCTTTATGCATTCAGTGGTTGATTCTTGTATGTGCCCTGGGATCAAACCTGCAACCTTGGCATATCAGAACAATGCTCTCACCTACTGAGCTACCCGGCCAGGGCTCTTCATCAACCACTTCTTTCTCATTAGTAAACACTGCACATGGCACAGGTAAAGCCAAACCTTACTGCATCAAATGGATGTACCTTTGAACTATTGTGAGTGTATAAAAGGTGCCTTCGAAAGCAAACAAAAAAAGTTTAAAACAAAAACAGCAATTACTCTTTTTGGTAATTTCAAATCCTATATTACCCGCCCACACATAACCTCTGGTTGTTGGGGGGGGGGGGGGGGGGGAAATACCTTTCCTATAAACCAAAGCACCATCCCCAAAAGTGAAAATGACACAGGAAGCATGTGACCCAGAAGCCATGCAACAGGTTCTCCATATTCTCTGAAGAAGCAGAGCTAAGCACTAACTGTGGCCAAACCAATGCACCCCCTTGCTAAGAGGAGAGCTTTTTTCTGAGTTAGGAAGAAGGGGGATGTATTCACAGTCCGCAGTTCAGTGTGATGAACAGCACAAGCTTCCGAGTCTGGCCTGGAATCCCTCCGCTGCCATTTACTACGGACTAGGACACCGTGGGTACATCTCTCAACCTGCAAGCCCGAGAACACAGCTGGTGCAGAATCAGTCAGCACTTGGGTCGGTGCCAGGCGGCAGCAAACCTCTGCACCTCTGCAGCGTGGCCTCACCTGGGACCCGGCTGTCAGATAGCCAGCCTCAAGTGCAATTCCAGACCGAAAGAATCAGAGCCTGCATTTTTATCCAGATCCCATTCCGGTTCGAATGTAAGTTAAGAGTTTGAAAAGCACAGCTAGGATGCACTCTTATGTTACTTTACCTATATTATAGTTAATTTTTTTTTTAAGCCACTCTGGCCGAAACCGGTTTGGCTCAGCGGTAGAGCGTCGGTCTGCGGACTGAAAGGTCCCAGGTTCGATTCCGGTCAGGGGCATGTACATTGGTTGCGGCACATCCCCCTTAGGGGGGTGTGCAGGAGGCAGCTGGTCAATGTTTCTTTCTCATCGACGTTTCTAGCTCTCTATCTCTCTCCCTTTCTCTCTGTAAAAAAATCGATAAAATATATATTTTTTTAAAAGCCACTCTGTTACTTTTTTGCAACTTGTATGGGTGAGTTTATTTTCAGGAAAAGGCAAAGTAATGGGTTGGGATCAAAATGTATTTCTTTACCCTAGTTGGCTGAAGAACAGCAGTTACCAACTAAGGCCCAAAGTTGTAGAGGACTGCCATCTAGTGGCGATTCATTCTGCTGCGCATGTAGAAAACCCCTGCCTTGTCTACAGCTACATTTGTTTATTATAAAATAGGGCCCGATTTTCTTTTTGCTTCATTCCTTTCTTGAGGACTACTAACATAGTGTCCACTTAATAATAACACAATAAGGCATCATAAGTGTCAAGGAAGGTAAAAGACGAGGATTTTCTTTGTTTCCTTTTTTAAACTCAACTCAAGTGTAGGGAAGTTTCAAATTAAAAGATTGATCTGCTCATACCTGCAAAGGTACACACTTGACAAACCACAGAAACAGGCTTAGAAAATGGGATTTCTTTTGGCAAATGCATATCTTTGAGTGACTTTTATTTCCTTCTTCGTAAATTCTGTACTTGTTACCAATTATGTAGTATTTGAGGGTGGAGGAACTTTTAAATTGAGAAAAAAAAAAAAAAAAAAAATATATATATATATATATATATATATATATATATATATATATATATATATATATATATATATTATAACCTCTTACTCAATAATTCCACTCCTACATCCTATCCCAAGGAAATAATCAGAAATGTAGACAAAGATTATGTTCAACGTCAAAGATGTTTATTCCAGGAAACAAAATTAATCTTAATAGCTTCATAATAACCCACTGGATCCATGCATCAAAACTTAGCCATTCTCCTCTATTACTCATTTTGGTCACTTCTAATATTTTTTTAATATATTTTATTGGTTTTTTTACAGAGAGGAAGAGAGAGGGATAGAGAGAAACATTGATAAGAGAATCATAGATCAGCTGCCTCTTGCACACCCCCTACTGGGAATGTGCCCGCAACCAAGGTACATGCCCTTGACCGGAATCGAACCCGGACCTTTCACTCCGCAGGCGACACTATCCACTGAGCCAAACCGGCTTTGGCAGAACACTTCTAATGTTTATGTTATAAATATATGCACAAATGTATATACAAAAGGAAGGAAAGGAGGACAGAAGGAGAGAAGAAATAAATTAATGTATGGCAACTTAATATAGCTTTTCCATATTTTGGATCATTTCCTAATATACATTCCTATAAGTCGCATTTCAGATCCAAGAACATTTTCATGGTTCTTAATAGTCAACTGCCTTGTAAGTGTTGTATTGTTTCACATGGCCACGATCAACATAGGATATTGAGACTATCATCACCTTTCTAACACTGGGCCTTATACTATGGCTAACTTTTTAAAGTTTTATTGAGATATAATTTATATATCCTCCTATTAAAGTACGTAACGCAATAGTTTTTAGTGTATTGACAGATTATGCAACCATATATCATCATAATATAACTTAGGAACATTTTCATCATAAAAAAAAAAAAACCATTAGCAGATTCTCTCCATTCCTTTAATACCATCCCCATATGAAGAATTGTTACTAATTTACCACCCCACTATTTAGCCCTGTTTTCTTGTAGATACTGCAATAAGTGTTTCAAACACATAAAATGGAAAGATTCCTTCTGCTACTCAGCTATTTCTATTTCAAACTGAAAAGGAAAATAAAACATGCCAAAATATCCCCTTGTTTTTTCAGAAGGTACTTTTGAAATGTAAGGCATAATTTAAAAACTAAGAGATAGTATCATATAAATACAAAGTTATCTGTTCTTTTCAAAATAATAGCAACTCTATTACGTTGGAAGTCCATTATTAAAACCAACAGAAATGTTACAAAAAGAAATCAAACAATTTATTTTTACTTAATTTTTAAACTTCATTTTTTATTAACTTGATCTGATAATAAAATTAAAGGTAACATTTAACAAAGAATTGTCTTGATGCTACCAAAAAATACACACACACACACACACACACACACACACACACACAAAAGAAAAAAACCACACACCTTACTTTCATTTACCCAAAGAACTTTTTTCTCATATCACTTTTTGGATCCAAATATATACTTAGCAATTTGCATTTTGGGGCTTTATTAGGTAAATGAAAATTGAAAATTTTAATTAAACAAGAAGACATAGATCTTCCATCATGTCAAACATTTTTTTTTTCAAACTTTTTTTTAAAGAACAGTGAAATCAGTTCTAACAGTTGAGGCCGGAGGTGGGGACACTTCATTGACAAAGTGAGTCTCTCATCAAATTTTAGTGTGGAACCAATGAACCAGGAGGTCACAGTGGGAATCCTGGTTGGGGCACATGCCCGGGTTGCGGGCTCGATCCCCAATGTGGTGCGTGCAGAAGAGAGCTATCAATGATTCTCTCTCATCACTAATGTTTCTTTCTCTCCTCCCTTCCTTTCTGAAATCAATAAAAATATTAAAAAAAAAAAAAAAAAAAAAAAGAAATGTCTTTGTAAACCATATAAAAGTGCTGGTTATGTGAAAATCAAACACGTTCATGTTTAAGTTTCCCTTTCTGATTCTTTTGCTTGGGTATTTGAATGGAAAGCTTTCGGTAAAATATTTTTAACTCTCTTTGGAATTCATACCACATAATCGTCCATTTTTACCACCAAGTTTGACATCACAGATAGGTTGTTTAATTTTGAGTGACATAATGTACAAGAGAACCGATTTTACCAGAAGCTAACTGGCATAAACAAGAGTTATCTTTCTAGGACGTCTTATCAACATGACAGTGAAACTATAGTGCACGAAATGCTGTTATTTGAGGACCTGGGACTTACAACAACACACTAACGAAAAAATTACCTTTTACACCACCGAATGATCCATAAGTCATATTGCAGGCTGTCCTCTGAAGATTGTGTTCATACATCAGTTTGATCTGATACTGATTCCCATGTTCCACATTACCCAGGGTTCCTAAGGAGAAAAACAAACCCTCTTATTGCCTTGTATTTTTTTTTTTTTTACATTAAAAAATATGTATTATTGCTGAAACCGGTTTGGCTCAGTGGATAGAGCGTCGGCCTCTAGACTGAAAGGTCCCAGGTCCGATTCCAGTCAAGGGCATGTTCCTTGGTTGCAGGCACATCCCCAGTAGGGGGTGTGCAGGATGCAGCTGATTGGTGTTTCTCTCTCATCGATGTTTCTAACTCTCTATCCCTCTCTTTTCCTCTCTGGAAAAAAAAAATCAATAAAATATATTTTAAATATATGCATTATTACTTTATATTTGTTTACATTAAAGAATAGTACATTAAAAAAAAATGTCATTCTCTACACTGATTCCAAGTAACTCAATGTCAGTAAAATCTAAAGTGACAGAGCACTGAAACGCTGTGTATTGGGAACAGTTAGCATGCGGATGACAGAATGGCAGCTCGGTTCTAACAGGTTAGTCTCAGCAAGACTACACCAGAGTGGCCGAAACTGGTTTGGCTCAGTGGTAGAGCGTCGGCCTGTGGACTGAAAGGTCCCAGGTTCGATTCTGGTCAGGGGCTTGTACCTTGGTTGCGGGCGCATCCCCAGTGCGGGGGGTGCAAGAGGCAGCTGGTCGATGTTTCTCTCTCATCACCGTTTCTAGCTCTCTATTTCTCTCCCTTCCTCTCTGTAAAAAATCAATAAAATATATTTTTTTTAAAAGACTACACCAGAGTGACATTTTATCAGCCATTTCCACAATGTCTGAGTAAAGAGTAATTATTCACATAACAACAAAACCCTCCCATTTCAGGTCTGAAATAAATAGGGTTCTTAACTTCCTTGTGCTTAGAAACAAGAACAAAATTCCCTACACGTTCAAGCAATTCAATTTTCTGTCCCAACTCTCAAAATAGTACTCAAGCCCTAATGCATTAGATTCTAATTGAATGGAGAGATCTTCTAAAGCTTCCCTCGGTAAGTAGAGAGGACATGATGTTTGATTTGAAGTCTGCCAAGAAGAATTTCCTTGAAAATAGGGAGCGCGCAGAAGGCAGCCCCCATCACTTTTTTCTCTCACGTTGATGTTTCTCTTTCCTTCTCCCCTCCTCTCTCTCTAAAAGTCAATTTTTTTATCTTAAAAAAAAATGTAGTAGTGTAACTAGAGAACCTTAGGCAATGCACCTTTAGTGACCACCTTAAAATAAAGATAGTACCTGAAAATCCAAAATTTCTGACCTTTTTTTTTTTTCTAGAGAAGCATCAATGACATAAGATTAAGATCACTTACATAGGTTTTGCCCTTGGGCACACAGACTGAATGTAATAACTGTACACCTATCATTACAGTCCCCAAATAGCCAAAGTTCCTGCAAAGTTTCACCAATTAGCAAGGAAATGGTTACTAAAGCACGTATGTTGTTGGCCTTATTTAAACAAGATCTCATTTAAACAAACAAAAAACAAAAAATCTATTGAAAATCAACGGTTACCTTGACAACAATTCCTGGTGCACTTTTATATAACCACTGAGAAATCTAATGATGTTAAATGAAATAAAAGCCTTCCCCAGTAAGTTAAAAGGTTCATTGTGTTAAATAACCAAATTAGATTACTTAAGCCTGTCAAAAGTAAAGAACCCATGTTTCTGCCTCTCGTGGCTAACATTAAAATTCCACAAACGGGTCAAACGCTTATTAGTAAATGCTTGTTGAGAAATATACAATTTGGAGGGAAAGACTAACAGAATCAGGATGGCTTCAGCTCACACGGCGTAACCACTTACTCAGAACAATCAGAAAGGACTGGAAATGCCGCCGGCTGCTGTTCTTTCCCGAGTCTGATCGGATGGGCTAACGTAAGGGCAGCAGGAGCTGGTTCTCTTTACTGAGCATGCGCCTGATGGCAAAGTGCCCACCACAAAGGATAGCCTCTGACCGTTAAGGGGTGTTTGGTGTGTCTAGGGGCAGTGGTCGGCAAACTCATTAGTCCACAGAGCCAAATAGCAACAGGACAACGATTGAAATTTCTTTGGAGAGCCACATTTTTTAAACTTAAACTTCTTCTAAGGCCACTTCTTCACAACAGACTCGCCCAGGTCGTGGTATTTTGTGGGAGAGCCACACTCAAAGGGGCCAAAGAGCCGCATGTGGCTCGCGAGCCGCGGTTTGCTGACCATTGATCTAGGGACTCTCTAGTTTGCCTCGAATCTATCTTAGCTGCACACACACAGCGTGTAAAAGAAGACAGAGTACTTGGGGGTTGGCGGGGGGCAGTTGGGGGTTAGGAGGTCAAGTGTGTGGCAGCATTTTCGCCTGCTAATACCAGTGGTTGTACTTCAACGAGAAAGTGTTTATGCTTCCCCTGTTACAGTGAAAGCTAGGGGAAAGTTCAGACAGGAACCTCAAGAAACATTTTCAAGAGAACAAAAACATGAACTTTCCTGCCTCGCAATTTCAGCCAAGCCAGGAAAAACAGACAACCTGTCAGCCTGTGAATATTGTACTGGGAAGAGGCTGCAGGAGTGAGAGGCCAAGAAGGGAAGTGAAGTGGGCATTAATTTTAACTGCTATTGAATATGTCTTAAAACTCAAGGGCCCTAAGTGCCCAGAATTGGCTTGCATCAGTCAATCCTGGACACTCTCCCTAAGCAGGAGGAGGCCACAAGGCACCTCCGGCGGAAATGGCGGCACCCAGGGAAACAGCCCTCCTAGGAAATGTAACAGCCCAGGCACCTGGAACAATGAAGGATTGAGGGGGCCCTAACTGGTTTGGCTCAGTGGATAGAGCCTCACTCGGCCTGCAGACTCAAGGGTCCCAGGTTCGATTCCGGTTAAGAGCATGTGCATTGGTTGCAGGTGCATCCCCAGTGTTTCTCTCTTATCAGTGTTCCTAACTCTCTCTCCCTCTCCCTTCCTCTCTGTAAAAAATCAACAAAATATATATTTAAATAAATAATTGAGGGGAAAATGCTCATTAAGAAAAGAAAATCTCACCGAAGCCAGTTTGGTTCAGTGGTAGAGTGTCGGTCTGCGGACTAAAAGGTCCCAGGTTCGATTCCAGTCAAGGGCATGTACCTTGGTTGCGGGCACATCCCCAGTAGGGGGTGTGCAAGAGGCAGCTGGTCGATGTTTCTCTCTCATTGACGTTTCTAGCTCTCTCTCTCCCTTTCTCTCTGTACAAAATCAATAAAATATATTAAAATAAATAAATAAATAAATAAATAAATAAATAAAATAAACTTGCCAAGTTTACTAACAGCCAATCATTAAAAAAAAAAAAAAAGAGTAACACCTGTAATAATCTGAACAATAAAGATTTATTTAAAATATTATAAAAAAGAAAAGAAAATCTCAACTCAAATCTTTTTTTTGTCATTAAAGAATATCTATTCTTTCACAGTATCAAAAAGCCCAGTCTTTAACACAAATTCTCCATTAGAGAGAAAAATGTTTCTTACCTGAGACAGAGTAGACGCAAAGTTTTCTAGAATGCAGCACGGCCAAATGAAGCATTTCAGTGCCTCTGAAAAATGGGGAAGTTTTAAAAGTGTAAATATTAGTTTCAGATGGAACCGGAAAATGGTAGGATAATTTGTAAGAGCGATTATAACCACAGTCTACCGTGAGTAAAGGAAGCAGTCCACTAGATGACATTCTACACCAAAAAGCAAAGGTCACAACAAGCAGCCAGCTTAGCAAACCCGGGGGCTTGGGGCTGGGCAGCCAGCAGCTGCCTCCAGCCTGAAGCCTGGAGCCTCCGGAGAGTCCTGTGGAGGCTCCGTCTGAGCTGCCCACAGCAAGGAGCCCAGGTCAGGTCCCGGCTCTCCAGCCAATAACCCTGTGACCTTGGCCACGCACTTCATCTCTCCCAGCTGTTTCCCCTCCTGAACAATAAGAGGTTTCAATTGGATGAAATAAAATCACGTGGAAGCACCTTGTAAAGTGCGAAGCACCAAAGAATGCTAATCGTGACGAAGCTACAGTCATGATCTTACATGGCATTCGTCAGGTCCAGCTCTGAAACGTCATGGGAGGCATTGGATGTGTTTCAGCTTGACCACTGTTGCCACTCACCACCCAACCCCTGTCAAGTGGTTTCGAGAGACAAGGAAGGCAGAGTCCAGAAATCCCAAGTTCAAAGTCTTCAAGGGTCAGCCAGTGGGTGTGAATGAGGAAAGGGCAGTGACCCACTGGAGACTGGAGCCAGACTAAGGGAGGCCACTGCTGCTCAGTTCTGGGCTTGTGACCAGATGTCCACTTCTTTTCTTTTCCCAGAAAAACCAGAATGTAACATCCAGCTTCATATACATATACATATAGGAGTTCATTTGAGCCAACTGACATCATATGCTGGGAAGCAAGCGCTCCTCCTGGCTCTCAGATGTCGGCAGGCCTGTTCATCTCAGACACATCTGCAGCAGGCCTCCAGAGGCTGGGCTGCACTCTACATACTGCCCTACACGGCACGGACGATCGCTGGAATCTGAAGACTGGTCCTGACTCTCATCTTGACACTTGTGTGATCATGGACCCTTTCAGAGAATTAGTCTCTCATTTGGAAAATGAGATGTCTGATAAGACTTGCAAAACATTGTTACAATGAATATATAAATACCCACCGCTTGCTCTTCTACCAGGAAATGCAAATATACACAACAACCACATAATCAATATTGCCTTCAGAGTGTCTTATATGTGCCCTGAACCCCCTCAGCCATCTCCCATCACGCACAGGAAACGATGTCATGAACAGAGAGACAGTAGAGGATGGAGTCAGACCTGGGTCTGAATCCCAGGCTCCAGCTAGTCTCCTTATCCCGAGACCACATCTTACAAAGAGTAATGAGAGGATAGCAGTAGTTAATACTAGCACAGTAGCCACTCATTAATGTTAGTGATCACACAGATGAGGGCCACACTGAGGACTACTGGACAGCATGACTGTCACAGCATTTCACTTTCTGAAAAAACAAAAAGGAAAACGTGTTCTTAGGTCCTTACCCTACAAACCCATCGTATATGTGCAAGTACACAATGGGCACCCAATCGGCATGAACCCGAAGATGGAGTAGATAGGTGCCAGCCAGGTCAGGCACATATCTCCCAGATCCACCCGTCACAGTACACAGAGCCCCGGCCCCGGCACCCAGGAGGCAGCTGCCCATCAGAAGGCAGCACAGCAGAGGAGAGGGGCAACAGTGAAAAGTCGCTGGGCGGGTTTCTCCTGCAGGCCTGGGGCCCTGAGTACATGGAAGCTGGGGCCAATAAGCCATGATGAGCAGGTGGAGTGAGCCTAAATCCAGAGCTCAGGGCACTCGCGATCAAGGCAAAAGCGGGGACAAAAAGAAGAGGCAGGGGAAACGAGACCACCTCTGCCTTCAGAACTCCTCAAAACGGATACTTCCATAAACGATTAAGAAGCAAGGGCTTGCCGAAACCGGTTTGGCTCAGTGGATAGAGAGTCAGCCTGCAGACTGAAAGGTTCCAGGTTCGATTCTGGTCAAGGGCATGTGCCTTGGTTGCAGGCACATCCTCAGTAGGGGTGTGCAGGAGGTGGCTGATTGATGTTTCTCTCTCATGGATGTTCCTAATTCTCTATCCCTCTCTCTTCCTCTTTGTAAAAAATCAATAAAATATATTTAAAAAAAAAAAAAAAAGGAAGCAAGGGCTTAAGGGTGAAAAACTGCTGTTTGCAACCACATGAATGGATCTTGAGAGCATCAAGTTAAACAAGACAAGTCAGATGGGAAAGGGCAAGAACTAGATGATTTCAGTCATATGTGGGATACAAAACAGAAAGCAGCAAGTGAACAAAACAAACTCATAGACACAGACAACAGAAAGAAAAAGACGTGGTGGTGGGGGAGAATGAAGAGGGAAAAGGGGGTCATTCATTATATGGTGACAGAGGGAGACCAGAGTTTGGCTGGTGGGCACAAATGCCGTATACAAATGATACATCATAGATCTATACACTTGAAACCTATCATTACTAACCAATGTCACCCAATTAATTTAATTTTAAAAAAAGAAATACAGGCTTATTTTAAGGAAATTCGTGTATGACAATAAGACAAAACCTACAATATCATCAATAAATTTTTAAAAAGCAGACATATTAAACAAAGTGCAAACTAATAAACAGTTTTCTAAAATAAATTAGGTTTAAAAGTATAAACTACTTTGAAACAAAGCTCTTTTAAGGGGAGACTTAACTTTATAGGTTGATGTGGCTACTTTTAAGAAACTAATGACTGCCCTGGCTGGTTTGGCTCAGTAGATAGAGCATCAGCCTGTGGACTGAAGAGTACGGGTTCAATTTCAGTCAAGGGCACATGCCTGGGTTGTGGGCTTGATCCCCAGTAGGGGGCATGCAGGAGGCAGCTGATCAATGATTCTCATCATTCATATTCCTGTTTCTCTGTCCCTCTCCCTTCCTCTCTGAAATCAATAAAAATATTTTTTAAAGAAAACACTAAGGACCAACCTCTCTACCCCAAACAAGTAATTCATTTTAAAGCTTCAAAGTTATATATGCCAAGAAGCATATCTGCTACTTTGTCTAATTATTTAAAGAGACATTTATATAACCTGGACATTGAGTGTTTTAAGTAAGTGAATACTTTCTATTTCTTTATTTGGTTATTTTTAAAAGCTTATCCTTTTCCCTTAAGTTTCTGATACATCAGGCATCTTAGGTCTGTTACAAAAAGTCCTAAATGATTTGATCTTAGATGTACAGGCTTCCATGTTAAAAAGCATTCAGTACAGGAAGAGAATATACATAAAATATATTTTTAAATATATTTTATTGATTTTTTAGTCAATGGATATTAAAACATTTTCATGGATCGTCTTTTTTTCTTTGAAGAATTCACAAATGTGACACAGTGAGGGACTGATACACTCCACGTCAAATAAAACCCCAGAGTCTGTAGGCCATACTTACGAAACAAACTGTCCTACTTCCACCTGTAGGATTGGATCTCGTAGCTGAACTTCTAGAAGCAAATCCTCAGCTTGAGCCCCATCTCCTGTTTTTACAGGATGGGGGTTAAAGATTCGTAGGTATCCCATAAAACTACCCACGATTATTTTATCTGTAGAGAAATTGGGAAAAAATAATTAGGAAGAAACAGTGACAAAATTTGGAGTTAAACTTTCTAATGGTATGACTCTTTTATGTTGTCAAATAATAGGGGAAACAGCTTTAACAAAGAGGCAGGAGGCAGGATTGATCTTTTTTTCTTTTTTCCTTTTTTTAATTTTTTTTTTTTTTTTTTTTTATTTCAAAGAGGAAGTGAGAAGGAGAAAGAGATAGAAACATCAGTGATAAGAGATAGAAACATCAGTGATTCATCGGCTGCCTCCTGCAACCTGCACACTGGGGATTGAGCCCGCAATCCAGGCACATGCCTCAACTGGGAATCAAACCGTGACCTCCTGGCTCATAGGTCAATGCTCAACCACTGAACCATACTGGCCAGTCAGGGTTGATCATCTTTGAGAAACAGGCCTTCCCATGTCCTATCACTGAGAGGGCAGGGCACAGGTTTTCCTTAGAAACAACTTAGGAGGCGTTCACTACACTTCAGTGCCTTGCACTCTTCCTGAGCAATGTAATTTTCTCCTATCACCTCGTCCCCCAGATTCTACTCTTTTCATTAAAGACAAATTTAATAAAATCAAGAAAAATGTAAGGAGACAATACTTAGATACACCGAATAAAAGAATCATTCTTTTTAAGACTGAGAGATTTGAAGATGGCAGCATAGATAAATGCCTGTACTCGCCGCCCCCCACGACCACATCAAAATTATTATACAACTAAAATACAGAGCAACCATCATCCAGAACTGCTGGAAAGCTGGCTGAGTGGAAGTCCTACAACTAGAGAAGTGAAGAAGAAAGCACACTGAGACTGGTAGAGGTGCAGAGGCACAAAAACGGGCTGGGCTGGCACATACACACACACACACACACACACACACACAAAAAGGCTCATGACTATAAATCATTAAAACCAAATACAAATTTTAAATAGCAATGATATAGAACTAAAATGTTTTAAAGACCATTTTTAAAATATGAAGATGCAGAGGCACAACTAATGTAAGAATAAAATAGAATGTTTTTCTAGTATTATGAAAATGAAGGCAATGACTTAACAATTATTTTCTACCAACACATTGAGCTTGCATAATTTCTCCATTCTTGTATGATTGGCTTTCAGATTTAATTTAAAAAGAATGTAATTTGCTTTCTATGCCAACAGTGCTCTAGAAAACATGATAAACATTCTTTAAACCTGCTGGACTTTCCCTTTTTTTAAGATATTTCATTGATTTTTAGAGAGAGAGTAAGGGAGAGGGAGAGAGAGAAACTTTGATCAATCGGCTACCTCCCGCATGCCCCTGGCCGGGAATGGAACCTGCAACCCGTCCATGTGCCCTGACTGCAATCAACCAGCAACCTTTCAGTTTGTTGGATGACACTGAACCAACTGAGCCACACTGGCCATGGCAAACCCGCTGGACTTTCTATAAGAATGTAGCAAGCATCAACCCCACGAAGTAACGCAGTACAAGAAGGGCAAGGATTCTCAGTACGGGCAGGGACAGTGGCGTTGTGACAGGAAGCAGGGTGGCTGTGGTGGGCAGACTAGGCCGGTTTTCTGCAAAGAAGCTAAAACTACAAAGATATGCCGAGGTTTGAATGTGCTGAGCCCAATGCAGATCTAAGTAAATGCTGGCTATTAAGAGATGCAAGCATTTCGAACTGGGAGGAGATAAGAAGAGAAAGGGCCCTGGCCACCTGGTAGGTCAGCTGGTTAAAGCATCATCCTGATATGCCAAGGTTATGGTTCAATCACTAGTCAGGGTGCACACAAGGAGCAACTAATGAATGCATAAGTAAGTGGAACAACAAATCAATGTTTCTCTCTCTTTCTGTCTCTCTCTCTCTCTGTGTCATCAATAAAAAATAAAATAATTGCCGAAATCAGTTTGGCTCAGTGGATAGAGCATCAGCCTGCAGACTAAAGGATTCTGGATTCGATTCCAGTCAAGGGCATGTACCTTGGTTGTGGGCACATCCCTGGTAGGGGGTGTGCAAGAGGCGGATGATCAATGTTTCTCTCTCATCAATGTTTCTGGTTCTCTATCCCTCTCTCTTCCTCTCTGTGAAAAATCAACAAAATATATTTTTTTAAAAAGAAGAAGAAGAGAAAGTGATCCAGTTCTAAGCTTCAAATTTTGTTTTATTATGTGACAACCAATACTCAAGGATAAAAAAATAAGTAATAAAAATAACAATTTTTATTTTCTTTTCTTTCAAATAATTTCTTTAAAAGGCTTTTTCAAAATTCTAAGTATTTTTTTAGTTCTACAACAAATGGAAGCAATTTAAATGATGTCTTATAATATTTTTAGAGTTCCAGCAAATAATATGACAGAATCAACACAACCAAGAAAACACAAACAACTGAACAGAAAAAAGAATTACATTTATCATCCTGCTACCTAAATATCACTAATAAGGAAAACTATCTTCAAAATTAGGGCATAATTATGACAGTTCATGTTCCTCTGTAAAAAATCAATAAAATATATTTTTTAAAATAAAATGAAAAAATTAAAATTAAAATTAAAAAATTAAAAATATATAGATATATACATATATATATGTATATATATATATATATATATATATATATATATATATATATATATATTAAGAGGAAGTTGTTTTTATTTCATCTCTGTACTGATTGGCTCCAAGATGCAGAGTCATAAGTTACTTACCTTGTCCATTTCCACTATTATCAACGTCAGCCAAACACAGACAGCCTTGATCAAATTCTTCCTTTTCTCCCAGAACAGTAGACCACCAATCACGGGCTTTAAATAAAGACATTTTCGTTCACTCTAAAAAGAAAACATGTGTTTACAGTAAAAATCCACTTCACATCATGAATAGAAGATAATCTCTTTATCACTGAAGCTCCAGAAATTCTCTTCCATACTTACCACTTGAGACTTTTTTTTTGTTTTTAATACCTACTTAAATATATATCATCTCCCAAACCAAGTTTACTCAATTTGTGCAGTCCTTTAAGATATGTATGTTTTCACACCTCATTGGGCTAGCCCTACACTAAGGAAGGGTTGGTACAAAAATGGCTGTGGTGATGATAACCCCAAGAATCCTATGGAAGGCACATGTGGTCAGGAAGGCAGATTAGGCCATTACGAGGCTAAGATCCTGACACTGATGCTGTTCATATTTGAAGCTTTGCTTTCTCCAGGTCATGCTAGTACCTCCTCAGATTCTGCAAAATAAGAATCAGGTCTTGCAGTCCAAAAAAGATGACTACTGCACACAGAGGTGAAGGGAGGTTTTGCTTTAGAAGATAATGTGATAAGGGCTCTTTCAATAAAACACACAAGGCAAAGAGCACAGGAGAGGGAGTCTGGGGTTCCCTCTCTGAGCCCACACCCCAGCAATGTGACCTTAGACAAGTCCCTTGCCCTCCAGTCTCCCAACTGGTCTAGGGGGTGGGGGTCATGGCTTAACACATGAGACTGCTGAGCCCACTACTTAATCCATAGGACACACTCAATAAATGTCAGATACATGTCAGTAGTTACCGAGAACAAGTAATAGTGCTGGTGGAAGTGAAGCATCTTCTGAGCAAGACAAAGTTACAAATGACCATCTGACCCTCTGGACTGAAGTACAAATGGCACATTCAAAAGACCAATAGTAATCGTTTATAGAAATGTTGTTAATCTGCAGGGGTGTCTTATAACTTCCATGTTTCAATTCTTTTTGAGAAATACTTGAAAGTCTGAATTCTATGGGATAAAGGCTTGCTTACACACATCAAAAGGTATGAAAATTTTAAAATTACTATATACTATTGATATTGGCTTTTTTTTCCCCTTCAGATAATGTTTTTATCACTAATTTGTACCATCAACATAAGTGTAGTTGTAATTTAAGGACAACAATTATTAAACTCTCATAAATAGCTTATAAATTATTTGCAAATTTTTAAAAGTTTTTAAAGTTCTCTAAATGATTATTTAGTCTATTCACACACAAATATTTATTTATATATATATATATATATATATATATATATATATATATATATATATATTATTCTCTTTACATTACCTATAATAACAATAACTAGACTAGATGACTTTCAGGGCCAAGTCAGAGCTTGAGGGAAGCCTGGGTCCCGGATGCCTGCTGGGCTGCCAGAGGGAAGCCCGGGTCCCAGGTGATGGAGGAGAGTCGGTGCCAGCAGCCGGGGGAAGGAAGGCCTACTCTTGCAGGAATTCTATGCATCAGGCCTCTAGTTTCTAATAAGTTAGAAAATCTCTCCCTCTCTGACAGACTTTAATTAAGACCAGTTTTACTTTGTGCATATGTGTGATATGGTTTCCTTTTTTTTTTTTTTTTAAAGAAATGTGAGCTAGAAAAAAAAAAAAAAAAACACTTCATTTTCCAGGAAATCTGAGTCAACCCCAGGACATGCTTGGGGACAGGAGATGCTAATAAAATCAGGTCATTTCATCGAAGCTGCTGCGGTTTGCAATGCAGGGAGAAGGCGAAGCAATAATCCTATTGCAAGAAGGAATTAGGCGGTATTAGCGCATGCATCCCACTTCATCATAAGCTGAGAACTGCACTGACCATTTGCTCACAGGACCTGTTGACGTGCCACAAGGAGGAGGATGCTCCTGCACCACCTAACATTCCTGCATAGAATCTTCACAAATTCTTAGCACCCTGTCTGAAAAGTGTCCACAGGATCTCACTCACATGGTGCGCCTAATTGTGTTTTGTTGTTTTCAACACACACACACATCCTTCCTAAGAAACCTATTACCCCCCCCCCAAAAAAAAAAAAAAAAAACTAATGCAATGGCATCAGAGGATCAATCCTGCCCACCGAGTAAAACTCAGAACGGGAATCCACGCGCGCGATGTACCAGACACACCTTCTTACCCGGTGCCGGATCCGGTGGGTCCTGCCCAGCTGGCTTGGAACTCTCTCTCCGCAGCTTTTCCTTTCGGAACGCCTGCCTGCCGGGGTCCCGGGGCTGGAGCGAGAGCAGGAGCGAGGGGTGCAGAGCGAGCAGCCCTCACTTCACCGCTCCCTCTCCTTCTCCTGCTCCGACGCGCCCCACGTCCCGGGCACAAGGGGGCAGCCTGGCCAGGCGGCACCGCCCGTCCCACCGAGCTGGCGGAGTCACCCCAGGGAGCCCCTCCGCATCCCTCCTCCGTCACCCCCAGACAGGAGCAGGGGAAGCGGCATCAGTCCCTGGGAAGACACCAGGCAGGCAGGGACAACGGCCCGGCCCGCGGGCCGCAGAGAGGAGGGGATGATGGAGAAGGCGGCGAGCGGCGAGCGGCGAGCGGCGAGCGAGATGGAGCAGAGAGCAGACAGCGGCGGCGGCGGAAGGGACGCCTCCCCGCCCGCGCCTAACTCCAAGCCATCTTCGCCCAGTTGTCATAGCGCTTTACAACGAACGCTACTGCGCAGGTCCGCGGGCGGCGCCCCGAGGCCTTCTGGGGGTTGTAGTCCAGAAGGGCGGAGGCCGAGGAGGACGGAAATGGGAATGTCAGATTTCTACGAGGCGGGGAGGCGGGGCTGTCAGGAACCCAGGCTCCGCGCTCAGCTCCTGATCCTCGGCGCTCGTGGGTGGGACTTTTATGGGGGAGATTGGGGTTCAGAATAGCAAAGCCTCTGGAGCGACTTCATCTTTCCCAGCCCGCGAGGCTATGTCCATGGCCTGGGCTGCTTGGGCGGCGGAGAGGGGGGAGAGGGAGAAGGGAGGGAAAGAGGGGAGAGCGGGAAGGGAGCTGGCTCAGCACATACTCACCGTGAAGAAGACCCCGAGGGTGGAAGACAAAGACCTTTGAGGCTGCGGGGCAAGGTTTATGGGTGTGTTTTTTGTTTTTGTTTTTTCCTCCTGGAAAAAGTTATTTGTACATGTCTCCTCGTTACATGTGCTAAATATTCTCTTTAGAATATACTTTGGGGTGAGTTTCCGGGTATATAGGTGTGCAAATGTTCAACTTTATAACTGAACATAACGGTTAATGCCAATTTTTCCACCAGATTGTCGTTAGTGCCAATTTAACAGCAACAGGAACCCCCACATTGGGGTATGATGGCGCCGGAAACTCGGAGCAAACAGTTCGATTGCGACACAGCCTGGCGATGGGACAGCTCAGTGGTGCTGCAACTGAACTCAGGAAGCCCCACCGCTGGGGCGCAGAGGCAGCCCTGGGCGATGCCCAGTGAGATGTCTGCAGCTCCAGCTAAGGGAACGCAGCCTTCAGTGGAACAACTCAGAGGAGAGATGACTTATAAATCCCACCCCTGTCCCTGATTGGTCCATCCTCACGCAAATGAGAATTCACAGTTTGATTTGTCCCAAAAGTATTGTTTGGATTGGTCCAAAATACAGCTCTGATTGGACAGGGAAATTCTCAGTCTTATTGGTTGAAGTAGGAATCCAGGAACTCCTTTGGAAAGGCTGTCTCAAGTGCAGGAGACAGGTCCGTGCTGGGGGCAGGTTCAGCAGAGGCTTCTCCCTGAAGCTGGCTGGCCTGAGAGGTCCTGTTAGAATCAGCTGCTAGGCTTTTTTTTCTTTTTTTTTCCTATTCCTCCTCCTCCTCCTCCTCCTCCTCCTCCTCCTCCTCCTCCTCCTCTTCCTCCTCCTCCTCCTCCTCTTCCTTCTTCTTCTTCCTCTTCTTCTTCTTCTTATTCTTCTTCAACCCAGGTAGCCACCAAGAGCCTTTTCTTGGTAGATGTCTTTTTTCTTAGGGCCCAAACTTCTTTACTTTCAAAGTCAGTGGAGGTATATAGCCTGTGATACCAACTTTGTAGCTTTAGTCCTTGCTTTTTTTCACTAGATTTAACTTATACACTTTAAAGTTCCTGTCTTTCACCAACAATTCACATTACCAGTTCCTGTCTTTCACCAACAATTCACATTACCAGTAGGAAATGAAATTCTAAATTATGGCTTTTCTTTTTTTTTTAATATATATTTTATTGATTTTTTACAGAGAGGAAGAGAGAGGGATAGAGTTAGAAACGTCAATGAGAGAGAATCATCGATCAGCTGCCTCTTGCACACCCTCCACTGGGGATGTGCCCGCAACCAAGGCACATGCCCTTGACCGGAATTGAACCTGGGACCTCTATCCACTGAGCCAAACCAGTTTCGGCTAAATTATGACTTTTCTTAAAAATACAAGGAATTCATGGAAAGCATTAATTTCTATTACTTTGATATTAAACCATCACAACATTGAATATAATAAATAAAATGTAAATTGCTTGGACTGCCAATAATAAAAGCTTAGGCAAACTACTATTCCCCAATTAAAACTCAAATGACTGAATTATTTCTAGTTGAATAATGTTCATAATATCAGTGAGAAAGTCTTTAATATAATTCAAGACTTATAAAGAAATATGGCCCAGCCAGTATGACTCAGGGGCTCAGTGATTGAGTGTGAGGTCACGGTTCGATTCCTGGTCGGGGCACATGCCCGGGTTGAGGGCTCAATCCCCAGTGTGGTGCATGCAAAGGGCCGCCAATCAATGATTCTCTCTCATCATTGATGTTTCTATCTCTCTCTTCCTCTCCCTTCTTCTCTGAAATCAAAATATATTTTTTTTTAAAAAAAGGAAAACAAAAAGTATGGAATAACACTGGAAGGAATTTTCACAAAAATATGTATAGGACTATTAAGTGGGGCTTCTTCTCAGCTATAAAATCACGATGATTGACCAATGTTACACCAATAAATTCAATGAAATTTTTTACATTAAAAAGAGATACTATGTAAGAGCAGTAAACAGTACTTAAGTTTTCAAAAATTAAGACAACTCTTATTAAGGGCTTAACTCCATGAGCAGGACATGAAAAGCACTCAATATACATTAGCTTTTCATTTCCAGTGCCCGAGCCTTGCCTAAGTACAATAAACACTAGGTTTCAACCAGGAATCGCATACTCTAGGGAATTCCTACGGAGAACCTTCCTTTCTCCAAAACTGATGGCTCCTACAGCTTGTGCGGAGCGGAGCGCCTCCTATGTAGCCACTGGGAGACTCAAAGCACCTGCCCAGGACCCGGCGTCCAGGTAGACGCGGTGGGAAGGCGCACAGTAAGGCTTCAGGCGGCAGCTCGGGCGCCCAGGCCTCCCCGCGGCCTCCGCCAGGGGGCGCTCCGCCCTCGGGCACCCACCGGCCCGGCAGGCGTTGGGGCCGGGCGCTCGGAGCTCGAACTTCAGGCCTCCGGGCCGCGCTGCGGGGGAGGCTACCGGCCGGCGGCGGCGGGAGGGGGCGCTGCGGGCCGGGCGGGCGGGCGGGCGCGGAGGAAGTGCCGCCTTCGCCGCCGCCGGAGCCGCGCGGGCCGCGATGTCGGGGTCCCGGATGTCGGGGTCCCGGCCGGGGCGCGGCGAGCCGGGGGCCGGGGGCGCGCGGCGGGCGCGGGAGCCGCCGGAGCAGGAGCTGCGGCGCCGCCGGGAGCAGAGGCGGCGGCGCCACGACGCGCAGCAGCGGCAGCAGCTCCAGCACCTGGAGTCCTTGTGAGTCCGCCGCCGGGAGGGCGCGGGGGGGCGCCGGGGGCGCCGGGCGGGTGCTCGGAGGCCCGGCTGCGCGGTCGGTACCGTCCCGGGCGGGGGCGGAGGGGGCCGGAGGGAGAGCGCCCCGCCCCGGCTCCGGGCGCTCGGGTTTGGGGACCGAGCAGCGAGCTGGGCCCGCTGGCACCTGCCCTGGCACCTGCCCTGGGTGTTCAGTCTTCCGGGTGCTGAGGGGAGAGAAGGCTCAGTGCTGAGCGCCAGGGCGGGCTGCCATGGGGCTCGAGCCGCTGCACAGCCATCGGGGTGGAGCATCCCCACCTGGAGACTCTTCCAAAGAAATCCCACCGCGGCGCTCAGAAACCCCAGGAGTGTTTTTTAAGCACTTGGCAGAATAGAAGATTTCTCCCCCCTCTTCCCACTTGGGAGGATCATTCTTTCTCTCTTATCTAAATATAGCCTTCCTACAGCTCAGAGCAACGTATTACCACCTGAATTGGAGAATCGTAAGGCATCACAGATGGTACAGAATAACGGGCCTCCGGGGACATGTTTTATTTTCTAAGGATCGGCTACAAAAATAACGCAGACGTTTTCTCTGTGATATCGCAGAAGGCAACTACATAGTAAACATTCCTATTCCCATTCCCAGATTTTTTTTTTTCCCCTCAACCAAGGATATGTTTATTGATTTTAAGAGACTGAGAGGGAAACGTAGATTGGTTGCCTCCTGTACTCGCCCTGGGAATCGAACCCGAGACCTTTTGATGCCCAGGACAATGCTCCAACCAACTGAGCCACCCAGCCAAAGCCAGCTCTGTTGTTTTTAATAGTTAAATATTCCCTCAATAATTGAGAAATATAACTTCTAATTACTACATAAACTAAGAAATTGTTTAGCCCTAAGAAAAAACACCAACCATGGGCCTTTAAATTTTTGGGAACAGTTGAGAAATGTACTTTTTAAGGACATTGCTAATATTAATAGGTTTCAAATACACAGTTCCATCATATTGCAAGGGACTTAGGAACTGTCAACACTGAGTGAAAGTTATGCTAGAATAAACAATCTGACAGATGATGACAGTTTGGTACCATAATTAACTCCGGGGTCTTCTTACCACACATTTTCCCTGAAGTCTCTCGAGTTCCCTTCTTCCAAAAAGAAAGTCATGGTGCTAAGACGGCGGGTGAGTTAGTTCCGGTGACTTTGGTTCTGCCTCTCCGCAGGATGGGGGAGAACATCAGTGTGTGTATATGTGATCTCGAGCGCTGGGCATGTTCTATTAACCGCTTTAGACGTAACGTACGTACTTCTAGGTTTTTATTAAAAACGCCCTTTTTAGTTTGCCTACAGCTGCATTTGGCTCTGTGTTCCCGTTAACGTGGTTGGTGACAGTCTTTTCTTTCTCTTTCCAGTTATGAGAAACCTCCTCCAGGGCTCATCAAGGTCAGTGTCCTCTCGGCTCTTCTCTCAGACAGGACTCACTCAGGGCTGTGTCACAGCTGTGCTTCCTGGCCGTTTACTCAGCGGTGTCTGTGCCCCTGCCTGTCCCCCAGCCATCGCGCCCCTTCTCTGTGTCTTTGAGGAAGCAAGACTTAGGGGAGCGGTTAAAGGCCAAAATAACTTTTTCTGTTTGCTACCTTTCAATATTAAAAAATATTTTTTTAAACATTTTCATTTTAAATTTAATATACATGGAAACCTGAGGGGGAAAAATCCAAAGGTTAAAAAAAAAAAAGAGCCTTATACTGGCTCAATCCCCAATCCCAGTTGGGTGTGTGTGAGACAACCAATGGATGTTTCTCACATCAATGTTCCTCTCTCTGTCTCTCCCCCTCCCTTCAACTCTCTCTAAAAATCCATGGCCCCTGGTTGGCGTGGCTCCGTGGCTGAGCATCACCTGTGAACCAGGAGGTCGGTCACCATCCATTCCTGGTCAGGGCACATGCCCAGGGTGTGGGCTTCCCCAGTGTGGGGCGCAGGAGGCAGCCGATCAATGATACTCTCTCATCACTGATGTTTCTATCTCTCCCCCTCTTCCTTCCTCTCTGAAGTCAAAAAAATATTATAAATAAGTAAATATCAATGGAAAAATACCTTCAGGTGAGGATTAACCGGGGAGAGAGAGAGAGAGAGAGAGAGAGAGAGAGAGAGAGAGAGAGAGAGAAAACCTTAAAGGTATTTCGTGGTGTAAGTACATTTCATAAATACACCCTGTGGCCTTCAAGATATAATAATCCATTTTAACTTAACATGCTTTTGTTATTATTCCAGGAAACCTTACTTGTCTAATCCTATACTTTGCCTCATTCCATAAGACTTTTAAGTTATCAGAAAACCTGTTGTAATCTTAGCATCAGAATTTGGAGCTCATAAATCATTTCTTTGTGAACGACACTAGTACCATTTCTCCAAGAACAGCCACTTGGTTTCTGCAATGTGGTTCTTCGGCACATTCATCTCCACCTTTCCTGTCAGGTCACTGTGTCTCCTGACCTTGAGAGGTGATTCCTGATGACCTCAGAGCTCCCCGCTGAGAAAGCCAGGCCGTGCTGCGTTCTGAGGCAGTTGGGCGGGTTCGGTGCTCTCTGGCCATATTGTTTACCCGCTGTTCCCCTTTTCAGGAAGATGAGACGAAGCCGGAGGACTGTATACCAGATGTGCCAGGCAACGAGCATGCCAGGGAATTCCTGGCTCACGCGCCAACCAGAGGGCTCTGGATGCCCCTGGGGAAGGAGGTCAAAGTGATGCAGTGTGAGTGCAAGCGCGTCCGGTGCTCCGAGCGCACCAGGGTACACACCGCGCTCACAGGCGTTCTCCTTCCGTCTAACGTGTCCTCCTCAGCGCTGGCAGGGTCCCGGCGTGATCTCTGCCCTGTAGATGGCTCACACGGTCAGTAAGTGGTCCCGGAACGAGGCGGAGCAGACATTCGCTCCAGGCTCGGACTCCACGTGCAGTGGCTTCCCACGGGAAGTGTGCCTCAGGACACGCGCTGGTGGTATTCCTGCAACAGGAAGGACCTTCAGTGGTGGAAACGCCGGGGGGCAGGTCCCTCTGGGTCTTGATCAGTTAGCCCCCTCCGTCCGTTGGTGGTAAGGCTGCTCCAGGTGGCCTGAGGAGCTACAGGCACAGAGGGTGGGTGCACACCCCAGCAGCACCTTCATCCAGCGCAGGGCGGCATTTGGAGAAAGGGTCCTGAAGCCTTTAAAAAAAAAAAAAAAAAAAAAAAAAAAAATATATATATATATATATATATATATATATATATATATGGCTTTTATTGATTTTGGAGAGAGAGAAACGTCAACTGACTGCCTCCTGCAGCCCCCCTGCCCCCCCCCCCAGGGATCAATCCCACGCAACCCAGGCATCGAACGGTGACCTCCTGGTTCATAGATTGATGCTCAACCTCTGAGCCAAGTTCACTTTTGAGTAGAGACTGATAACTGGATCTCCCTGTAGGGTGGAGTGCCTGGGCTGCTTAACAGAAAACACAGTATTTATTTTATTGCTGAAAACAGCTGCGGAGGTCAGTATCTCCAAGTCTTTCTCATCAGGTGGTTAGTCTTTCAGAGGAGAGTTTCCTGCTGAAGGCCAAGGCCACGTGCTGGGTGCTGGGAACTGCTTTGAGGGACGAGGCGGTGAGGCCGGAGCCTCCTGTCTTCAGCCATCTAGTCCTTCCTGTGCTCGGTGTGGCGCCTGGCCCTCCCTGGGCCTGAGGCCTCAGCCAGGGCCCCTCCGCACTCCGGCTGCAGAGGATGAGCCTGCCTTGCTGGGGCTGGGCGATGCGATGGCCTTTTAGCCAGCCCTCCTCCGCTGCTGTCCCTCCACCTCCGTGGCCAGAGGGTGCGGCCAGTCCCAGGGCCTCTGGGCTCTCCAAATCGAAAACGAGTCGTTTCTGTTCTGCTGGCTCAGAATCCAGTTCTGCAGGGCCTGCCGTCCACACTGTACACTCTTCCCTGCAGTATAACTTCCTTCATCTTTTTACTGCGGTCTCCTTTCACATGCTCCCTGTCCTTGTGGGTCACACCTTTTTTAGAGTCTTTTGCTTTTAAAATTGGAATCTAATGAAGAATAACTTTCATATGACGTCCTGATACTTTATCTTGATGAAGTAAAACACATTATCTTACAGAAACGTATCCCCTTTCTCTGTTTTCAGGTTGGCGCTGTAAACGGTACGGTCACCGAACGGGCGACAAAGAATGCCCTTTCTTTATCAAAGGCAACCAAAAGTTAGAGCAGTTCAGAGTAGTAAGTAGAACCCCAGGGTGTCAATTTACGTTTGCCACAGATGGTGCATGTCCGTGAAGCAGGCGGCCCTGGGTGAACTGGAGGCTCATGTGAAATGTATTCCCAGAAGCCTTCTGGCCGAAGGACCTGGCGTTAACTACATCTCTGTTAAATCACGTTTATGTGCGAGATCAGTTACATTAACAAGAAACTCACTTCTTACTGAAGTGTTATTTGCTTATAACACTGATTCTTTTTTCTGAAGCAGACATTCTTATCCACTTTTTACTTTGGGGGAAAAAAATCAAATTTCCTAACCAAAAATCAGGGTTCTGATTTCCTAATCCTTGTCTAGGTACTAGACATCTTCCTATTATAAACTAGAAGTGAGCATAAATGATATTTCCTCGTTACATGTCAGTAAAATAGGTCTGTCATTTCCTCACTGTATTCTAACAGTCACCTCCCCGGGATGGTAATTCACCTTCAGTAACTGTTTCAATCTATCGGGTATATTGGGATTACCAGCATATAGCAAACTGGGGTTCACATTCGTCAGGGATTTTAAGACATTGAAAATATTGTTCTTTCATTTTAATAATCATTGATAGCTGGAATATCAATTTTTATACCTCTCTGACAGATAATTTGGTGATAAATCTAAAAAATTTAAACATACGCCGAAACCAGTTTGGCTCAGTGGTAGAGCATCGGTCTGCGGACTGAAGGGTCCCGGGTTCAATTCCAGTCAAGGGCATGTACATTGGTTGCAGGCACATCCCCAGTAGGGAGTGTGCAAGAGGCAGCTGATCGATGTTACTCTCTCATCGACGTTTCTAGCTCTATATCTTTCCCTTCCTCTCTGTAAAAAATCAATAAAATATTATTTTTAATTTAAACATACGATATTCAATATTTTTTCAAATGCAGAAACCTAAATTCTAAATTGATCCTAAGGATCTAACAAAACATCAATATACACAAATTTTTCTGAATGTAGAAAAATAACTTTCAGAATATTTATATGGTTAAAAAATAAAAACTAAATAAAAATAGGCAACAACTTCAATGGCCAATATGCCAACAACATAAATTACTATAACAAAAATCATATAGCTCCCCAGAGCCGGTTTGGCTCAGTGGTAGAGCGTCGGTCTGTGGACTGAAAGGTCCCGGGTTCGATTCCGGTCAAGGGCATGTATGTTGGTTGTGGGCACATCCCCAGTAGGGGGTGTGCAAGAGGCAGCTGGTCAATGTTTCTCTCTCATCGACGTTTCTACCTCTCTATCTCTCTCCCTTCCTCTCTGTAAAAAATCAATAAAATATATATATATTTTTAAATCATATAGCTTTTAAGAATAATGTTTTAGAAGAAAGTATCTCATAGGAAGATGTTCATGAAAACTTAAGTGAAAAAGAGAATAGAGCGTTTTATATAACATGATTATAATTTTTTGTAAATTATGAATAATGACTGGGAGAACCACACTAAAATATTAGCAGTGAATATTCCCAGTGGTGAGATAATAGATCTTTTTAACTATTTTTTAAAATATATTTTTATTGATTTCAGAGAGGCAGAAGGAGAAAGAGAAACATCAATGATGAGAAAGAATCAATGATCAGCTGCCTCCTGCATACCCCAGAGATTGAGCCTGCAACCCTGTCTTGTGCCCAAAGAATCGAATTGTGACCTTCTTGTTCATAGGTCAACACACAACCACTGAGTCACACCAGCGGGGCTTAACTATGTTTTTTAGTTTAATATGTAAAATTTAAAAAAATTTTTAAAGATAACTCACATACTATAAAATTCACTCTGTGATTCATATTTTAAAGTACTTTAAATAAAATATACTAAAAATAAAATATTTTTTTTAATTTTTTTTAAAAAATGAAGTACTTTAAGTGATTTAGATTATACAGATATTACAGGAATACATTGGCCTTTAACAAAATGGAAACATAATAAGGTTTTCCAGAATTGAAAAGGGATTTACAGTAAGTAGTCTTTTTTGGCACATGGTTTGTGTACCTAATAAATGAATCATTCTTACGTATCATTTTCTTTTTCTTTCTTTTTTAAAATATATTTTATTGATTTTTTACAGAGAGGAAGGGAGATAGAGAGGTAGAAATGTTGATGAGAGAGAAACATCGACCAGCTGCCTCCTGCACGCCCCCCCACTGGGGATGTGCCCGAAATCAATGTACATGCCCCTGACCGGAATCGAACCTGGGACCCTTCAGTCCGCAGACCGACGCTCTACCACTGAGCCAAACCGATTTCGGCTACGTATCATTTTCTAACTCACTTGTTTTGCTTAATATAATTTAATCAAAAGATAATTACTTTAATATTTCTAATCTTGAATAGTATTTTTCAATATTTCTATGGTTTATTTCCTTACAAAAGATACTAAAATTATAATCCTGTATTTGTATAATTGGAAAACCTTTTATAGCCTCCATAAGTTTAAAGTCATGATGACTCTCGGGAAGGATTAAAACCTGTAGAATATAAAATTACACCAAACTGGGGAGAGGAACAAACTAATTTCAGTGAAAAAGCCATTTAATTTCAAATTAACTAACAATCTATGAAGTTTAACCCAACCTTAACTTTCTCTAACCCTCAAGGCACATGAAGATCCCATGTATGACATCATCCGAGAGAATAAAAGACATGAGAAGGATATAAGGTGAGGTTGTCCTGATGATAACAAGACCCTCTTAAAGTTGTACATTGTGTTAAGTTGGAAACAACTATCCCTGTTAGAGGAGTAGTGTAACAAAGGTGGTGCTTTAATTGCGCAGTGCTTGGAGGTCAGGAGCAGTCACTGAAAAGGCCCGGGTTCCAGCAACGAGCAAGTAGCCTGCTCCATTGGGTTAGCGTAATGCAGGGGGCGTGGCCCAGTCTGCTGAAACCATGAATGGTTGATGTTGGCAGCCCTCATTCTACTGTATGATTGGTTCTCTTTCTTTTTTCTTTTTCTTTTTTTAATATATTTTATTGATTTTTTACAGAGAGGAAAAGAGAGGGATAGAGAGTTAGAAACATCAATGAGAGAGAATCATCGATCAGCTGCCTCTTGCACACCCCATACTGGAGATGTGCCCGCAACCAAGGTGCATGCCCTTGCCAGGAATCGACCCTGGGACCTTTCAGTCCGCAGGCCGATGCTCTATCCACTGAGCCAAACTGGTTTCGGCTGATTGGTTCTCTTTCATATGATTGTTCTTCAGGGGTCTGAGCTATTGATAAACATAAAGACAGAATGAAAAAATAGGAGGTTTTTACTTTTTCAAATCTGTGGTCTTCAGTTATAATTGTTGAGGTGATCAATTACCTCATATGAACTTGAGCAGTGGGGGCATGATTTAGGAAAGGCTATATCTGTTAGAAGTTACAATAAAAGAGACTCTAGAAACATGCAGAAATTGCCTTATCTGGTTTGGCTTACTGGATAGAGTGTCAGCCTGCAGACTGAAGGGTCCTGGTCAAGGGCACATGCCCGCATTGCTGGCTCAATCCCAAGTAGGGGGTGTGCAAGAGGCAGCTGTTCAATGATTCTCTCTCATTATTCAACTTTCTATCTCCCCTTTCCCGTCCTCTCTGACATCAACAAAAATATATTTTAAATAAGAAGAAAAATGAAACATGCAGAAATATTTAGGATAATGGAAAGGATACAGAACACTTTTACACAGCCCTGTAGAATAGGCGTGGATGTGGACAGGAATGGGAAACATGAAAAACTAAAAATACTGTGCAGAATGAGGTGATTATTGGTGACTTTTTTATCCTCGCATCTAATCTTATATTTAAAACAATTCTTGGACATGGTTATGTTTTCTGGTTCTTTGACCGGCCTTCTCTGTTTAGGATACAGCAGTTAAAGCAGCTGCTGGAGGATTCCACCTCAGATGACGATGGGAGCAGCTCCAGCTCCTCGGAATGTAGGGAGAGGCACAGGAAGAGGAAGAAGAAAGAAAAGCATAAGAAGAAGAAGAAAGAGAAGAAAAGGAAGAAGAAACGGAAGCATAAGTCTTCCAAGTCAAGTGAGAGCTCGGACTCGGACTGACAGCCGCCCGGCCTGTCCGTGTTCTCGGCTCAGAATCACACGCTGTGGCCGCGAACAGAGGGCTGGAGGCGGAGAGGGGACGCCCAGGACCACATCTGGTGTCACACACACACACGAGTGACCTCTCACCCACCTTCCAGGGAAGCTGTGACCCCCGAGAGAGACTCTTCCAGGTGCCCGGGCTGGACGGCGCTGACTTCGCAGGACAGGCCCTGCCAGTCCCCCTCCTGCCGGGCACCGTGGCCCGCGATGCCCAGAGAGCCGGGGTGTCCGGACGACAGCCTCTGAGGACACTCCTCCGGGGGCTGCACCTCCACACGAGGCTGCTGAGTTCCCGCTTTAGGCTCCACTCTGGTCTGTTGTTGAAGATAATAAAAGCTCATTATTTATTTTTCAAATGTATTTTTATTATTTCTGAATAATACATGCTTGTGTTCCAAATTTAAATGGTATATAGTTTTTATTTAATTATGAAAACTCTTCCTTCTTCCTTTCTCCCCCAGCTTCCCCAGTCCCCTTTCCCAATGGCTACCAATGTTACCAGTTTCTTGTTAAGTCTTCCAGATTAATTTTATAAATCACAAGCAAATAAAGGGCTATATTTTACACAAATGCTCTACACATTCATCTGCACTTTGCTTTATCTTGAGAGTATGAAACTAATTATTTTACAGTTAAGTACATTTGGCATTGCTGACCAAAAGATGTGTGTGTATACCGCCTGAGACGATTTGTTGATTGGGAAGAAGGGATTCCTATAGCTATAATACAATGAAAACTCTGGTGTGGCTACATCCTGTTTAACTTGATTGGATCTTACTGCCCAAACCCTAAGAATTTCCCAGGGTAAGTGACTCAGAAAATTGTTAAAGAATATAAGGGAATTACTGTACTGAGTCAGCTAGCCACACCCCAAAATACCCCTCACTTCCTTCCTCTTCCTAGTTAAGCACAGCCCACCTGGGCCTCAGCAGAAGCAGCTCCGCCTGTCAGGGTGGTGCCTGCAGCTAAGGCAGAGCATGTCTTGTTCTTTGCTGAACAGTGGAGCTAGATCTTGCTCACAAGTTGTGTCCCTCCCTATCCAGCAGGTTCTATTGCTATTGTCAGGGTTCCAGAAGTTTTCTATTCATTTCTGGTCTCTTTCTCTAGGGGTTGAGGGACCTGGGTCCTCCCAAACTGCCCTCTCCTGCAGGCCTGGTCACTTGCCTCCCCTGCAGGCCTAGTTCCCCCAACTGCTCTCCCCTGTAGGCCTGAGTCCCTCCCAGCTGCCCTTTCCTGCAGGCCCTGTTGCCCCCAACTTCCCTTCCCTGTAGGCCCTGGTGCCCCCAACTTCCCTTCCCTGCAGGCCTGGTCACCCCCAACTGCCCTCCCTTGCAGGCCATCTTGTGGTGGCCATCTTGTATCAACATGGGAGCAGCCATCTTGTGTGTTGGGGTGACAGTCAATTTGCATATTACTTTTATTAGATAGGATTGGAATGACATCAATAATGAAACCATAGTATGCTAATTAGATCAGATGTCCTTCCGGGCATACTTCCGGATGAAGCCAGGGTTGCCAGGGAAACCAGGGCCCAGGTGCCTACCAGCAGCCACAGGGAAGCCCTGATCCCGGATACCTGCTGGCGGCTGGAGGGAAGGAAGCCTGGGTCCTAGGTGCTAGAGGGAAGCCAGTGCTGGTAGCCAGGGGAAGGAAGGCCTACTCTTGCATGAATTTTATGCATCAGGCCTATAGTTGTTTAATAAAATTATATAGGTTTCACCCTGGCCTGAAAGCTCAGTTGGTTAGAGTGTCTTCCCAATATACCAAGGTTGCTGGTTCAATCCCCAATCAGAGCACATACAAGAATCAACCAATGAGGAAGCAGCTGGTCGATGTTTCTCTCATGACGTTTCTAGCTCTCTATCCCTCTCCCTTCCTTTCTGTGGAAAATCAATAAATTTTAAAAAAAAAATCAACCAATGAATACATAAATAAGTGGAACAAGTCAATGTCTCTTTCTCTTTCTCCCTCCTCTCCCTTTCTCCCTATCTTCTTTCCTTCTTCCTTCCCTCCTTAGTCTTTCTAAAAAAAAAAAAAAGTCAGTGGAAGTTATATTGCCTTAGCCGGCTTTGCTCAGTAGAGCTTTGCCTGCAGACCATAGTGTCCAGGGTTTGATTCTGGTCAAAGGCACAGACCCTTGCAGGCTCCTCCCTGACAGGGGCCCTGGTCTGGGCTGTTGCAAGAGGCAACCAATAGATGTGTTTCTCTCTCATCAGTTTCTCTGTCTTTCCCTCTCTTCCACTCTCCCTAAAAATCAAAGAAAAACATCCCCGGGTGAGGATTAACAAAAACAAAGAAAGCTTTGGGGTAGGTAAACACACAGAAGTGCTGGAAGACTTACATGCCTAGAGGGGGGCATGGAAACTCCACACCCTTTCCTCCTACCTTGTCCTATGCATCCCTTCCACGTGTACCAGGATCTGCTTCAGCAAAACCAAACCCGAGGCAAGGTACACTGGGACCTCCAAGTGACAGCCAGTCCGTCAGAAGCACGGGCGATAACCTGGGTATGTGAGTGGCATCTGAAGGGTGGTGGCAGTCCTGTAGGACTGAGCCCTAGACCTGTGGGCTGTGAGCTTAGACAACACTGGGTACTCACATTCACATACCCCCCTGCAGACATTGATGGCTCTCCCATCACACCCCACGTGTGCAATGGACTTCCTGCTCTTCCAAATGAGCCCTAATTAACCTTTTTGGCATCTAGCAAACTTAACCTGCACCATTTATTGGAAGGTTGTCCCTATAAATTGACCAAGTGGCTGTCTACATATTTGTATAAAGACTGTTCCTTTAAAACTTCTAAAACTTCCTAGGAGCAGGCACTGGATGGAAGTCCATGGCACTAGCAGCCACCCTTGGCCAGTGCTGTTATCCACAACCTGCTATGTGCTTGGTCTCCATCTATTAAAATGAGCAAGACAGTCTATTCCTTATCTAAGGGTCCCCGGAAATTATTAGAAGCACACACAAATGACCCAAATCTATAGGTTTTCAGTGATGTGGCCTTTTTGGGAGAGCAAGAATATGCTCAAGAATCTCAAACATGCAATTCAACTTTTATAACATAAAATTCACTCTAAAGACTTTTGTTTCTGTAATAGCTTTATTAGTTGAAATCAAGACATCACATGTTCTTGCCCATCATGATACATTTAGCTCTTCTTTGAGTTGGAACTCAGTAATTGCTTCCTAAAAATGGAACACACTCCCTAGCCAGTGGAAAGTGTTGGTCTATATACTGAGGGTCCAAGATTCAACTCCAGTCAAGGACATGTACCTCGGTTTCAGATCAGCCCTGGCTGGGGTGTGTGCGGAGGCAACCAATCCATGTGTCTCTGTCTCTCTCCCTTCCATTCTCTCTAAAAATCAATTGAAAAATTGAGGATTACTGAGGGGGGGGGGAATATCAATACCCATTTTTCCTTTCTATCTTTAGGATAAAATGAAGGCTCTTGACATTTTGCCTGAGCTTAGTTACCAGTCTTTCCTTTATGCCACTGCAGGCAGGATGACCTTTACATGGCTGTAAAGCAACTGAACCCTGACATCCCAGGACTAGGTGTTGGGAGGTATGGCAGGGATACTCAATATGAAGGCTCAGCGTAAAGGAAAACCTGTCGTTAACATACTAAACTTCCAGTACCCCAAGGTCATGGGCCTCGGTTGTAGGCTTAATTCCCAGCAAGTTGGGAGTCAACCAATCAATGTTTCTCCCTCCCTATCTTTCCCCCTCCTTTTCACTCTAACAAAATAATAATCCCACATAAACCACAACTTACTATCATTAGCAACATCAGCAATTAAATGTGAAAAACCATAAAAATAACATTCCACAGGAGAGAAAATCTTTGGCTCCAACCCATTTTGTAACCTAAGGTCTTTATTTTTTAAATATATTGTTTTTTACAGAGATGAAGGAAGAGGGAGAGTTAGAAACGTCGATGAGAGAGAAACATCGACCAGCTGCCTCTTGCACACCCCGTACTGGGTATGTGCCCGCAACCAATATACATGCCCTTGACCGGAATCGAACCTGGGACCTTTCAGTCTGCAGACCAACGCTCTACCACCGAGCCAAACCGGTTTCAGCATAACCTAAGGTCTTTAGATATGCCTGTTACCCAGTTAGAATGGTGACAATCTTCATTTGCCCAACAGCAGAGTTAAATCTACAACGCCCTACCCTAACTATTCAACCCAGCTCTCCATTACCATTACCTCCCAGTCATCATCTGCTGACTCTGTCTCAACTCTAACTTGGAATCCTCTTTGCGAAGAATACAAATATGAGCACCTAAAGCTTAAGTGAAAACTCGATTTTAAAATGGAGTTTAGAATTATCACCCTAACTGGTTTGGCTCAGTGGATAAAGATGCAGCCATTGGACTCAAGAGTCCAATGCCATTGGACTCAAGAGGTTCAATTCCGGTCAAGGGCATGTACCTTGGTTGCAGGCACATCTCCAGTGGGGAGGGGGGTGCAGGAGGCAGCCGATTGGTGATGCTATGTTCTGTTAGAGACTCGTTGTCATATATTTCACAGTCCTCTTTTTTGGTTAGGATAGCAGGCTCCTAGTGAGGTCCTCACACTCATCATTCCTCTTGTTGATCTTATTGCTGCAGGGCCAGCAAAGTAGAGAACAGAAATAGCTTCCCCAGGATTCCTCCCGATTAGAACTCAGACCACTAACTTCTTCTTCAAAGACCCATTCTATCTCTTCGTCTTCCCACTCATACTCATCTGAAATGTTCAAAGAAGTAATTTCTTTGGTCAAAGTAGCAACGTCGTTGTTTCCTTTTAAGGATGCAACCGTGGCCTCCTTTAACTTCCTGCTCCCTGACATCTTCCTCGGTCCGGTTGCTGTGCAGTTCGGTGACTCCTCACTTACCAAGGGCATTTGCTCAGGGGAGTTCATCTCTACATCTCCCAACCAACCTATATCACAATGGACGGCT